AAGTAAAAGCAGTGAAAGGTCTGGGGGTGTAGCTCAGTGCTAGAGTGTGTTGACCTAGCTTGCTGAAGGCGTGGGGCCAATCCCCAATTGGGGGAAGGGAGGGACAAGACATATGACACATTTAGGGCCGCTACTTGAGTGACCACCAGAACCCAGCTGTGGAAGATGATTTCTGCCACTAGGGATTATGCAGGAGGGGAGTCTGTAGTGGGCCCCAAGTCCTCCCCTACATTCAAGGGAAAGTCCAGCAATGCTGAAAACTCTAGTGTAGCCTATTCCTAACTAAATGACTTCAACAGATCATTTCTCTCCAGAGTTTCTTAATCTGCAAATTAAGAGCAAGAATGCCTGGCATTTCAAATGGGGCAAGCCTAGCCCTTGGCAAAGAGTTCCAGGAGCTTCTCCTCCTCTCTGGCCATCTGATGCTAAGTCCCTGGTGTTGAAGACTGAAGGACCAGACTATCCCCTGCTGAATAATCGTATCTCTGTGGCAAGCAGCTGCCTTGGGTTGTACATCTGCCTTACTTCTGATTTCTGGGTAGCCTTGGAAACATGGACATGTTTAGTGGTTTTACTCCTGCTGCTCGCTGCCTTAAGATATATCTCCTCACCAAGCATTAGCTTGGCCCTCTAGTCACTACTAGCCTAGGCAAAAAGATAATAACAGCAAGTCTCCCAGTCTATCGGACTTTATTTTCGAAGTGTTTCCTTTTGTATACCAGTTGTTTAGTGATGTACTTTAAAGTCAGCAGGTCCCTTTGTTCAAATGAACTTTATTCAGAAGCCTAGTACAGAAACAACACGGGTGCTCCTTGTGCAGCTGGCACACTGCTGCCTGAGCTCTGCAGCTTCATCTCCCATTCAGCCTCCACCCTACAGTCCCGCCCCAGAGCCTCCCATGAACCTAGTGAACCTGCCTCAGCAACACTGCCTTCATCCTACCGTGCCCTGCTACCCAGGAGCCTGCAACCCTGCAGCTTGACTGTGTCCTCTTTATCTCAGGCTTCAGGGGCTTTGCTTTCTCCAGTTATCGCTAAAAGCTGGTAGCCTCCACAGGTCTATCTCTTCTCACCTCCCTCATCCATTGTGACTTCATCTACATCCAAGCCTTATTCTAAACTAAGTCTTGAGGTGACATTTCTAGCCTGGCCATCAGGCTCCACACTTCTTCTGGCTGCTGGCCATAGACAGGTGTTTATTAAAAGTCTAAAAAGAAAGCTGGGCATGGTGACACATGCCTATAGTCTCATCTTGGGAGGCTGAGGCAGGAGAATCCCTTGAGCCCAGGAGTTCAGAGACCAGCCTGGGCAACACAACAAACCTGTCTTAAGGAAGGAAAAAAAAAAGGCAAGAAAGTAAAAAGGACCTCACAAGATGAAATGGTTACAGTCAGTGTTAAGACTAAAATAGGCCAGCTGGACGTGGTTGGGTACACCTGTAATCCCAGCACTCAGGAGGCTGAGGCAAGAGGATTGCCACAAGTTCCAGGCCAGCCTGGGCTACATAGTGAGACCTTGTCTAAAAAAAAAAAAAAAAGAAAAGAAAAGAAAGAAAGAAAGAGAAAGAGGAAGGAAGGAAGGAAGGAAGAAAGGAAGGAAAGAGAAAGAAAGAAAGAAAAAAGAAAGAAAGAAAGAAAGAAAGAAAGAAAAAGAAGAAGGAAGGAAGGAAGGAAGGAAAGAGAAAGAAAGAAAGAAAAAAGAAAGAAAGAAAGAAAGAAAAAGAAGAAGGAAGGAAGGAAGGAAAGAGAAAGAAAGAAAGAAAAAAGAAAGAAAGAAAGAAAGAAAGAAAGAAAAAGAAAAGAAAGAAAGAGAAAAAGAGAGAAAGAGAGAGAAAGAAAGAAAGGAAGGAAGGGCTGGGGATTTAGCTCAGTGGCAAAGCGCCTGCCTGGCAAGCAGAAGGTCGTGAGTTCGCTGCCCGGTACTGGAGAAAAAAAAAAAAAAAAAAAAAAAAAAGAAAAAGAACATACTCTACTAGCTTAGGTGCTAGTGTGGTTAGTTATGTCCACTACGATCTGGGCCTGAAACCCGTAGGTCTTCAATGCTGTAGCACTCTGGGCTTAGCTGCAGTGGGAGGAAGGACTTCATGACAGCTGCAGGGATGGAATGGCAGGAAATGAGCCAGTTTGGGAGCACAAGATTTCTGTTCGCAGACCTCAGCCTCTCTATGGTCCATTCTTAGAGGTACATTCCAACACACTCGTACTCCATGTGTCATGTGATTGAGACTGGGGCCGATGTCCTCCCAGGGGAAATGTGCTTCAGGCTGGTGGGAGCTTCCCCTCCCACCCCTGGGGAGTCAACAGCAGCTTACAAGTTGCGACCAGGCCTGAGAGAAATCTGAGAGTGAGGTCGGGGGCTGTGGGACCTACACAGTTTATGCCTGGCCTCTCAGAGGAGCAAAGGAAATCTTAAAAGCTAGCAGCACCAGGGATGGGAGGGAGGGCGCGATCTGCTTTGCCTCCAAGTTGGGACTGCATGGAGGAGAATGGAGGGAATAAAGGAGGTGGCAAGAGCTTGAAATTCAACTGGAAACAAACAAACCCAATGTGCCAGCAGGAGCTGACCCAGAAGAGAGGGGATGGTAGCACCTCTCTGGGTGACTGAGTGCCTGACAGAGAATGGACTTGGGGTGAGAGGACCACAGCAGGGGGCTCTGGTGCAGCCATTGTTTAATAGGAAAGGCTGCACCAAAAGCCCAACCATCTAGGAGAGCCATTTTGGCTGCCCTGCAGCTGGTCCAACTGCCCTGGTGCTCTGGTTTGCAGGGCTTTCTGTAGCTGTGTCCAGCTTACTAGAGCTTGAAGCATCCTGAGGGGAGAGCTTCATGTCCCCACGGCCCCCAAGAAAAAGCCCTACTCTGCCATTCGCCTGCATATTGTCAAAGGAAGACCAGCCATATCCTCAATTTAGCATCCTTCTAAGCTAAGGATACTGGGACCCTTTCACCTCAGGAGTCCCCTCCTCACTGACAGGGAAGAGCAGGGTGAAGACAGTAGGGCTGTCATAAACCAGGGTCTGTTAGGGGGTTCACAGAGAGGACAGTTGGGCTCTGTCATAAACCAGGGTCTGTTAGGGCGTTCACAGTGCTGTCCTCTCCCCTAAACTTGTGTCCTGTGGGAGAGCCACAGCCTCCTGCTCCTCCACTTATTTTCCATGCTTTTTGAGACAGGGTCTCTTTATGCAGTTCAGGCTGGACTTGAACTCACTTTGTAGCCCCGGCTAGTCTCAAACTCACAGTGATCCTCCTGGCTCAGCCTCCCGAGTGCTGGGATTACAGGCGTGCACCACCACACCCAGCTTTCTTCCACCTCTCTAATACACTTGGCACAGGCAGGTGCACACAGAACACTCCAGCAGTTGGGGTCCTTGGGAGGCTGAGGCAGGAGGACCACTGAGTTTAGGAGTGTAAGAACAGCCTATGCAACGACACCGAGAGCTTGCCTAAAAAAATGTACTACAAACAGTAATAGCTCTGTGTGTGCGTGCGCAGGCATGTGCACATGTGCACATGTGTAGGGGGCTACTGAACCCTTCTCTTGGGACACATCTGCTAACTCTGCAGAGTCAGGGTTATGAATGAAGTCAGCTGTTCCAACCTGGATTATCATGTCACTCACTCAGCCACCTGCAGGGTGGGCCAGGAATGTGCCATGAGGACTCCATGCATAATTCTGAGTTTACAGGGCACCTGGGCTCCACCCTCTTCACCTGAGTTTCAGGTCACCTCCTCCCGACCTTTATCATAATCCTGGTTCCTACACATCCCTGCCTCCTTCCACAGAATGCGTGCTCGCTCAGGGCAAAGGCTGGCTCGTCTGCTCTGCACTTCAGCTCCTATCTAAGGAAGCGCACCGAGGAGAATCTGTTGGCCGATTAGGAGACAGATCCTCAGAGGCATCTAAGAGCAGGCACTTTAAAGTACAGGTTGTGACTGTAGCACATTAACGTCCCTGTATCTGGATGTTTGTTTCTTCTGTGGTACGGAGAGCGACAAAGATCATACTGGAGCTCTGTACAGTTCCTGGGCCGAGCAAGTGTCAGGGAAATAGCTCAGCACACTCGCAGGCCCAGAGCAGCCCAATGGGGAAGGGAGTCAGGGCAGGAGCTGCATGGGTTGGAGATGCTCTTACAAGGACAAAGCTGCTTTCCCCCCAGAGAGATGGAAATGACTTAACCCCTCCTCAGAAACACCAGGGTACCTGTCCTGCCAGAGTCTCCATGAAGACTGAGCCCTTTGGTGGTGTTCTGTAGACCGCAGAACCATGAATCAGGAGGTCCTGTCTGGGGAAAACTGTCGCCAACCTTGGCACCCTCAGTCTACGACAAGAACATGGGCTCTGAGCTGCCTAGAATTCTGAATGTGCTCATGTGCTCAAAGGAGCTCAGGCAAGCACCCACACTCAGCCTTCACTGGCACAGTGCTACTGCTTTCCATGTCTGCCGCAGTGCGGTGACCACAGGCTGTGAATGCACCGGAGCTTCAGTTCCTGAGCAGATTATGAAATCCCTGTGCTCACCTCCCTCCTCTATCAGAGATGGGATGAGACAGGACAAGCAAAGGGGAATCTCGCCCTGCCGTGCTGTGAGGGTCCAACGACACAAGGGAGCCAAAGCACCTAGCACTGACCCCTCTGTCCAGAACTAGGAGCATAGTCTACAGACAAGGTGGGTGGCTCTCAGAACTGACAGCTAGTCACGGCGGCACACCACTGTAATCCCAGCACTCTGGGAGGCTGAGGCAGGAAGACTACAATTCAACCCCATCATGGGCAACTTAGCCAGACCCTATCTCAAAATAAAAAAAGAGCAGGGATGCAGGTCAGTGAGAAGGCCCTGGGTTCAATGCCCCAGTACCACTACCACCACCACCAAAACAAAAACTGAGAGGCTCAGACCCTGAAGTGTGGGCCCCTCCCAACCTCCCCAGCCATCCCAGACCAGCTCCTGCGCCCCCTCCTTACCTTCCCAGCCCAGCCTGCTAAAGTGATGAAACTAAAAGGGTTTGATCATGTTGGTATATTTATATGTAAATACAAAACTGTATCACTGTAAGATATTGAATATGAACAATTATTACTGAATCTGACTCAGTCCATTGATGTTAAATACAAAATGAAATGATTGTAAAAAATAAGAATATACACATTCAAAGAGCTTATTACAGTATAAAATTACTGAGGTCTGATCAGCTGCCAACCTCATCTTCTATAGGGGAAGGTTTTGGGGTCTCAGGGACTCTCCTGGGAGTATAGAATGTTGGGTACTCTCGATTCCATCCCTGTAAATCAGGCTGGGGGCTAGGAGCAGGCAGGGACAGGGGTGGGGGGGACGGGACAGTGACTGAGGGGACACAGGCCAGGGTGTTAAGCTTATAATTGACACAGAGCTCACCCAGTTGGAGCTCTAGGGCCTGGCAGATGGCAGACAGGAAGAGATGGGCAGCTCAAACAGGGCATAGGAAAGGAACCCCTAGCAGAGGAAAAAGGGCCTGCTTATGCCCCAGGAGGCATTCTACGGTGGGTTTCTCCCTCACTCCCTGCTGCCGTCCTTTCCTGCTGAGACTTCGTACCGACTGTTCTTGCCTCTGCCTGCTCAGTGAGTTCATCTCTACCCTTAGAGTGAGAGAGAAAAGGGAGGGCCTGGCTTCACAGTGGAGGTCTGGTCCCCAAGTCAGCAAAGTGAACAGAGAAAAGCTGTTAGATAAGGGCCATCCATGCTGAAGTACACCAGTGTCACCACAAACCAGCATTCTTGGTTCCAATGGGCAGGATCCAGAGGGGGGAAGTCATCATTTGAAATGAGGGCCTGGGCAAGAGCAGGGAGGACAGCTGTGTGTGTCCCATCCCAGCCAGTCCAGGTAAAAGGAGGGCCCAAGAAACGGAGCCCTGAACTGCATCACGGAGCCCCAGGAACGTCTACAGAGAGATGTGTGTGTATATGTATTTATAGAATACGACCATATTATCACATATAATATATATTATATACACACATACATATGGACCCAGACACAGAAGTGCACATATGCACACGCACACACATGGAAGGACGGAGGAGACCAGACTACACGCCCTATGTATAAACGTGCTTGGCACTCAGGCAATCTCTAGAATATGTAACTTGGTCAAGCTCTCTGGGAAGGAAGGTAAATGCTCACAAACCTTCCCACCAAATCCTAGCAAGGGAAGGTGGGGAGACAGGAGACCTCCATCCAGGAGAAGAATGGCATCGGGAGGGGAAGGAGGCCCCTGCCCCTTGCCTCAGGGCCCTGGCAAATATCAATAGCCACAATTTGGTTTCAATAAGGCACAGTTCGATAGCAGGTGCTAGGAGTCAAGAACATCACTGCTGGCCCTTTCTCGTGGCAACTCCACCACATCGATCTGGTGGAAGGAAGAGGCTGTCTTGCGTGCACTCGGGCGCTGAGAGCCACAGGAGGGGCTGATCACGACTTCGGTAGAACCGACGGCAACCTAGAGGCTCAGCGGCGTCCGGGGTAGTCTAAGGGAGGCTGGCCAGCAGGCAGGACACTGTGGGGCAGTTACTGACCCTCCATGGTCAGCATGTTATGGCCAGAGGGCACCATGCCCTCCTTTTCTGCAAACTCCAGGATGGCCTTGTAGCAGAAATAGTACTGCTCGGGGGTCTGGATGCTGAAGGCCCTCTGGGTCCGCATGCGTGACACTGTCTGGAACACATTGAGGGTGCCAAGCTCCTCCAGCTGTGCCAGGCAGATGTCCAGTGAACAGAAGGTACCTGAAGAAGGAAGGAAATGGTCACCGTGGTTGAGCTTTCCTGTTCTTCTACCAATACCTCGGGCAGGACAGGGTGAGTGAACGCAAGGCAAGGTATGCACGGCAGGTGGCTAGGTGGCCTCATGCTTGAAAAGGAGGAGGCCACAGGAGTGCTAAGAACCTCTCATCTCTCGGGACATGCACAGAAGGAAGAGTGAGCAGGCAGGTGTCAGAAACTTCCTGCCTCAATTGTAGACACAGCACCCAGACCCTCTCCAGAGCCTGCCTTTCCTCCACAGGCCATGCCAAGGGTCCTGCAGTGCACATCCCTAGGACAGCAGCTGTTGCTGGCCCCAGAATGGAGAGCGTGGCCCACAGTGGGAGTCCTGGGAGAAGGGCTGGGAAGAAACAGCAGCCAGCTAAGCCCTCTGGGCCCCCCACAGTGACGGTCATGACAAGGACAGGTCAGAAGACAACTTTGGTCCTGGCGTGGATAAGGGGTCAATTCCCAGAGAGTCTGGTTCGTGAAGTGTGTATTCTGGCTGCCACCACACACAGGTTACCAAAAGGACAACAAAGGGGCATTTTCAAAGCAGTTTACCATCAGTGATCAAGTGAGTCCTTTTCATCACAGATGGAGCCGAGAGCTCTGTCCTTCTGCCCCACCTACTGCCCTAAGTACTCCAAGGCTGCCCCAGTGTGTCACCTGTCCTGCCGATGCCTGCACTGCAGTGGACTACGATGGGCGGCTGCTCGGGGCATTGCCCCTTGCAGCGGGCACCCATGCTGCTGATGGCCAGGCTCTGCTGGCTCCTGACGGCCCTCAGGAAGTCAATAAGCGATGCCGCTGAGGAAGGGACGCCATAGTCTGGCCAGCTGAGGAATTGGAAGTGGGTCACCTGGCGTTTCTCCCTCTCCTGAGATGAAAAGAGAGGCATGAGTTAATGAGGCTGTCTCCGCCTGACTATGTCCCTGCCAGCAAGGCACCTGTCTACCATGCTCAACTTGCTCCACAATCACTTCTCTATTGCAAACCCAAAGAAAGGCTCAGTGTGCAAAAGCATCTTACAGGATCCAGATTTCTTTTTTCTTTGTGGTACTGGGGATTGGACCCAGGACCTTTGCTTGTTTTCTCATCTTTATTTTGAGACAGGGTCTTGCTAAGTTGCCCAGGCTGGGCTTAAAGTTGCAGTCCTCCTGCCTCAGCCTCCCAGAGTGCTGGGACTACAGGTATGCATTACCACTCCTTCCTGGCTTAGGATCCACATTTGTAATGCTAGTTGTAGTCTCCCTCTGTAATGCCACTGTTGTGCTGAGATGACAGGACTCTCTCAGCTCTGAACTAAGTATCCTCATTTGATCCCAGAGAAACAGAAGCAGCTATAACCTCCCTAGAATCCTGCCTGCTCCCTCTGGAATTTCTGTATAGTACAGATTCTCCCCCACCTCCAGAAAGGGAGAAAACAGGAAGCCAGGTTTACCTCTGTATTGTGAATTTCAAGTGTTGTTTTCTTATAATGGTTCATGTTCTCCACACCCAGATTGGTCACTGTGAGGAAGCCAAATCGGATCCGAGTGTCCTTTTCTAGAGGCCAGTACTGGCCACACTTCCTCCTGCCACCTTCCTCAAAGCTGAAGACAAAGGACAAAGTCAGCTGCATTTCTCCCTCCACAGCGAAAGCCCACTCCTCATGCCTGCTGTCTATGAGCTGGCACTGCTGTATCCACACCACTTCTAACTCATAGCACTGGCTATTGGCAGACAGGGGAGGAACCCACTTCATTCTAAGCAGATGAAGAGTCTGCATGTGCTCATTTAAGACACCGACTGGTCTTCTTCCTGATACCAAGTGGCACTTCTCACCGAGCTGGGATAATATGGGTCGATGAAGAGGACAAGAGGGAAAATGTGGTGGTCAGAGAGCACATGCTGACCTGTGCCCCGGCCACTGTCCATTCTCTTCTCCAACAAGGGCCTCACTAACAGAGGAGGGGAAGGTGGTAAGGACCACCCTCAGAGGCTCCAGGGTCCCCAAGTGGCTTCTCCATTCTCGTGACTAGGCAGAGGGGGCTGTGCTGGGAAGGGAACAGAACAAGAGTTCTTTTTGTCCCCTCATCTGAAATCAGTAACAATCAGTATAGCGATACTAACGGAACTGAGCATTCCTCCAAGTCCGCAGCAGGACAGGGCAACATCTCAACAGCATTTCTTGCTCCACAGCTTCCTGCCTAACCTGCTGTGTTTCACCTCTCATTCTTCCCTTTGCCTATGGGGGAAACACGGACAAAGGGAGAGTACAGCAGAGGGAACCTACCAGCTCCACAGCCAGGGAGGCAGAGCCCTCTGAGCCACTCGCCGGTCTAAGAGGAAATGCCCATGTTCCTAGGACTTCCTTGATAGCCAAGCCAGGACCCCAAAATAGGCTGTCATGGCCACAGGGTCAGCATGGTTATGGATTAAGGCTCTGGTGTGTTACATCCATCTACCCCCACCATCCCCTTCGCTAAGAAAAAGCTCAGAAAGCTCCAACTATTTGTCACTGCCATGACTTTCCTAACCCTCAGTTTTGTTTTGTTTTTGTTTTTGGAGAGTGTCTTGCTGTGTGGCACAGGCTGACCTCAAACTCAAAGTGATCCTCCTGCCTCAGCCTCCCGAGTGCTGGGATTACAGGTGTGCACCACCACACCCAGCTCTTCAGTGTTTCTTTTTGATTTCTGAGACAGGGTCTTGCTACATAGTTCACGCTGTCCTTGAACTCATGGCAGTCCTTCTGCCTTAGCCTCCTGAGTGTTGGGATTATAGGTGAGCACCTCCAGGCTCCCCTCACCTTCAGTGTTTCTAGCGGCTGAATGTCCTTCATGCTAGGGCCAGGGTGGGTGGGGTCAGTGGGGAAAGAACTGACTCACCGGGTGGTCATGACAATCACTAAAACCTTCTGCTCCCACACCATGAGCCAGAAGTCACGATAGGTGTTTTCCAAAGGGCCTGTCGGAGAGAACACGGGTGTGAGTGCAGCAAGTCTGTCTTCCTTCTTAGTCCCACCCTGAAGCCCAGAACCAGCTCCCTGCTCTTCTCTCCACACCCTGCTTTCCAGTCCCCAGAGCGACTGCACCACCAGCACTGCATGGGGGGGTTTGAAATGCCAAGTGTAGCTGGGCATGGTGTCACACACCTGCAGTCCCAGCACTATGGGAGGCTGATGCAGGAAGATCACGGTTCAAGCCTGGACAATTTAGTGACTTAGCAAGACCCTACCTCGAAATAAAAAAGGGCCAGGGATGCAGCTTAGTGTGAAGGCTCCTGAGTCCAATTTCTAGCACCAAAATTTTTTTTAAAAACCCCAAAACAGAGCAAAAAGCGCCAGGCATGCATTAGCAAGCCATCTTGGTGAGAGGTCCGCAGCTGGCTGCTGTCTGGAAGCACCACTACGCACACTCAGAGCTCAGCCCTCAGCATATCCTCGGGACAAGGCTGCCTGTGGACACAGCTCTGTCCCCATCACACATGAGCTTCAGTCTCCATTACTGGTTACCGCTCGCCCACTCTCCTGCAGCCATCGTCTGCAACCCAGGCTCCTCCTACTTTCTCATTTTTGTTAGCAACACTGCATTCTTACAGCATCCTGAAGCCAATCAGATTTTGCATGTCCTGCATCTCCCAAATCAGTCTCCATCCTACAGCTTATACACTGGGAATGTTTCTGTCTCCCTGGCCCTACGCTGCCCCACTCCTGTTCTGGGATCTTACTGCTTGTCATGGCTTGGCTGAGCTGCGACACTACTTGAGCTTACTTTCCTGAAGTCTCTCCCTTCCAGTCTGCTCTGGGCCCCACCAACTCAGCGGTTTCAACACGACCTGCTTAGGACAGACACCCCCTCCTCTGAGTCTGTCCACTTCCTATCTGTTGTCATGCATGCCCCCTCAGTTCTCAGACTACGTTGTTCCTTGAGGGTTCCTCTGCTCCAAGCTTTGATGGCACAGTGGGTTCTGATAAGTTCAGCATTTGATTTACAGAGTCTGGCTTCAGTCATTTCACTTTGGGAAATCAGGCCTTCGTAAACACAGTCTGAGGACACTTGTCCTTGAGGTCAAGTTCCCTTGTTACAGTGAGAGGCTCCATAGGGGTGGACACCTGGCAACAAAGCTACAGTTCCTGTGAACCACCAACCCTTTTCACCAAGAGTGTAAGCAACAATGCAGAGCTCCTTTGTGCCTCCCAGCTTCCCCTCTGCTCTCAGGAAAGCAAGGCAGCAGTAAGGCTTCATGGGGTCCCGAAAGGCTGCCAGCTCCATTCTCCTTTTTGCTAAAATCTTTAGCTAGCACTGACATCTTATGACATTAGAACCCCCTCTCCGTAGACACAGAGACCCCATAGTATGCTGGGTTCTAGTAATGTCTGAGAAAGGGTAAGTCCTGCACTATGCTAGGCAAGTGCTCTACCATGCAGCCACAGCCCAGCCCTAGACTCAGATTTTAGAACTGGTAACGTCGGGGAGAAAACTGGGGAAAAAAGAAGAATCAAGATATATTAGGTATGGGCCAGGGATATAGCTCAGTGGCATAAGCACCTGCCTGGCAAGTGCAAGGTCCTGAGTTCAATCCCTGGTACAAAAAAAAAAAAAAAAAAGATGTATTAGGTATAGGTACAGACTCCCTACAATGAATGTTACTCTTATGTATATCTACAGTGTACCAATAAAATTAATTAAGAAAAAAAGAACTGGTAATGTGCAACCTGTGCAATGCATGTTTCTTATGTGTACAATACCCCATCCCTTTGTGGGTATCACCCATGTGTTAACTTTATTGGTGACACTACGGTGAAACACTTGTTTAAGTAGCTATCATCAGATCTCTTATTTTATTTCTCCATAGGCCAGTGGCACTGTACAAATGGATTATATTTTGTTTTCATTTGAGTTTGAAATGTCTTGCTAGGTGTTCATGCTGGCCTCCCATTTTCAACACCCCTGCTTCAGCCTCCTGAGTAGCTGGGATTACCATTGTGCACCACCATGCCTGGCCTGACAGATCTGTTACTGACCATTTTCTGCAATAGTAACAGGACCTTCAACCCTCATGGCAGCCTGTTCTGTCAACCTGTGTCAGGATTTCCTACCATCACCACCTTCTTCTCTTCTTTATGCTGGAAGTTCAAACCAGTGACTCGCACATGTGCTCTACCACTGAGGTGTGTCTCTAGCCGCCTCCTACTTTCTTTGAAAATGAAGTCGTATTCTTGAGAGGTAGAGGCATGGTGGGCAGGTACTGGGCCCACACAGCACATATGTCAACTCCATCTGAATTCCTCTTGGTCTGCAGGACTGCACCGTCAGACCTCGCACAGACTATCCAGTTCAGAGTGCTTCCTAGCGTGTGCTGTGATGACTCGGGGTCCAGCAAAGGCACTGCTTGTGCCTAAACTGGACCTGACCTCTGGGAAGTACCACTGCCAATCCTGGCCCCTTTGTGGACGTGAAAAGCATCTCACGGTCCTGCTCCTTTGGCCTGGTCACAAGGCTGAAAGTAAGACACAAGGCTGAAAGCCACAAGCAGGCAGTGTTTGTAGGCTTAAATCTCCAGTTCATCTCTATGCACCAAGTTTCTAAGTACACATGGTACAGAAAGCCTGTACCTCCAATGTGCCTTCCTACCACCACCAACTTTTATGAAAGGCCAGGATTTAGTAGCTACAGCATAGGCTCAAGTCACAGTTTCTTTAAAAACTATGGCATCATCTGGCACAGGGTAGATGGCATAAAACCAACACGTGAAGGCCGCATCAGCTTACCCTGGGTGCCGATGTAAGCATTCTTCTGCTTGTAGCCGTCCATGAAGCTGGCATTGATGTAATCTGTCTGATGGGAAAGAGGAGACATCATTGTGTGCATGGCAGGCAGCATCTGGATTACAGAATGGGGTCCTGGGTAAGCACAATCCCCCGTGTGAGTATACTCTTCCTGTCAGCAGACAGTGCGGGGTAACAGGGCCAACTCAAACCTCACTTCAACAACCAGGCTGGGACAACTGGATATCTACATGCAGAAAAATCAAGAGGACCCTGTCCTCATACCAGACACAAAATTAACTCAAAATGGACCAAAGACATAAATGCAAGAGATTAAACTATAAAACTTTTTGAAGAAAATGAAGGAATAACTTTGTGACCTTGAACTAGGCAAAGCCTTCTTAGATATAACACCAAAATCACAAGCCATAAATGAAAAGAGATAAACTGGAACTACAGTAAAACTAAAAGCCTTTTGTCAGGCAGAGTGGCACACGTCTATAATCCCAGCACTCTGGCAGGCTGAGGCAGGAGAAACTCGAGAGTTGGAGCCCAGCCTGGGCAATTCAACAAGATCTTGTTTCAAAATAAAAAATAAAGATAACGGCCACGCATGGTACTGCACACCTATAATCTCAGCACTTGGGAAGCTGAGGCAGGAAGACTGCCAAGGATAGCATGAGCTCCATAGTGAGTTCAAGGCCAGCCTGAACTACATAGCAAGACCCTGTCTCAAAAAAACAAAAACAGAACAAAATAAAACATAAACAAACAAACAAACAAATAAATAAATAAAGGGCTGGGGATAGAGCTCAGTGCCCAGGTCCTGGGTTCAATTCCCAATACCAAAAAAAATTTTTTTTTTAATTTTATAAAAGTAAAAACTTGGCCAGGGATATAGCTCAGTGGCACAGGCGCCTGTCTAGCAAGCACAAGGTCCTGAGTTTGAGTCCTGGTACCAAAAAAAGGTAAAAACTTTTGTGTTTCAGGGGACATTATCAAGTAAGTGAAAAACCAATCCACAAAATGCATTTATTTGATAAGAAATTTGTATCTCCTGGTGTGGTGGCACACACATGTAATCCTAG